ACCTAGCTCCGGAGCTGAGCAGACGGAAACGCGCGGCGTGGGGAGCATTTAAGAACATCGAGGGAGTAGTGAAGAAAACGAAGAACATCCGGCTCCGCGCTCACCTTTTCGACACTGCGGTACTTTCTGCTTTGACATACGCCTCAGAGACTTGGACTCTACGAAAGCAGGATGAGCATGCAGTTAGCGTCATTCAACGCGCTGTGGAAAGGACGATGCTCGGAATTTCCCTATACACGCAAGTGCAGAAGGGAATCCGGAGTTCCGAGCTCCGTCGACGAACGAAGATCAGGGATGCCGTTGATTACGCCAAGAGAACGAAGATCAGGTGGGCCGGACACGTTATGCGATATAATGATGACCGTTGGACCAGGGCGGTTACGGACTGGATCCCTCGGGACGTCAAGCGAACACCAGGACGGCCGCCAACGAGATGGTCAGACTTCTTCACGAAAGCTCTGAACGAAAGGAATGTATTGCCCCGTGTCCCTCGAGCGAGTGCGATTCACTGGACTGCTCTGGCTCGCGACAGGGACGAATGGAGACGTTACTGGCGCCCGCTCGAGGAAATCGACGATCAACGGGAGTACAGGTGATACAGGTGATACAGAGCAGGCCCATACACTTTTAAAAGTATGGCAGTCATGTGGGTCGAGGTAGATAGAATTTGTGGGAAGCAGAGGAGTCAATTTATACTGAGTCCCTTCAGCTCGTCCATCGACGTTCTCACGTGGGGTGGTCGAACATCATCCATCTTAATCGAAAATTTCCTCGAAACAGGGGTGAAATGAGGGCTCGGAACACCATCTTTCTCAGTTGTCAATAGAGTATTGTTAAGTATATCGCAGTACACTCTGGTAGGATTTCATAGAAAAACACCCAGATGAACGAAGGGAGAATGAGCCTAGTCTTTCTTGGCGTGAACGGCTCGTTTTATAGCAGGCTGTGGCCTTACGCCCTTTGGTAGCATTGCGATTTCCCATGTGGACTTCTGTAAGACACCTACTTTTAATCCTGAGCAATAATGAAGTCGGTTGATGTCATCGAGCAGCATCTAACACACAGTGACACGCACTCGACGCTCCTACTTAGTCAAAGATGTGCGATATTTGCAAAGAACCCTGCTTCGGAAGCGACTCATGCATAGGACGTCGGGATGGTGGATTGGGGAGTAGAGGTCGTCTGCTCCATTTCCTGAGACTTTGAAGAACAGTGCTCTGACGGAGGGCCAGAACAGTGACGGTATTTGAGAGGAGTGGGCAAACTTCGTCGAAGCAAATCCCTTTTCATTGGATGCGATCGTGCTATTTACGGTGGGTGACAAGAGGGGGTACACTCCTGCTAACCACTCACCGTATCCCTTTCCAAGCCTGAATGTCGAAGCTATCAATTTCGTAATGATGAAGCAGAAGGCTCCGGTAGTCTCATCGATGGCACATCGTTCGGTCGACGTTTACTTACTTTTAACGATCATGTCAAATACCGACCAGGCATGGTATCCATCTACCAACAATGCCCTTTCACCTGCTATCCTACTGTCCTCTTTTAGCGGGCTCGCGAGCAAGATGCTTTCAAAATTGAGAGGCGAAATTTTCTCAAAACTTTTCGGACACCCTAATATTTTGATAGCCTTAGCATACATGCAAACTTCACTATCCTTGTGACGCTTTCTCCCTCCCTCCTCGACCCGTCTGAAAGGATTCATCATCGTCAAAAAAACAAAGGGCCACCCGCACAATTAATAAATCTGTTATTCCTCGAACAGCAGAGCTCCGCTATACGGAAAGCATGATTGAATGGATAGGCCGTGAGTCGAAGCTTGATTTTCGTGTTTCAATCAAGGTTCTCTTAGTGCTCCTAGTGGAAAAATCCCTAACGTTTCAATCGTAAAGCGAAGCTGACCGGAACGGGCTGCAAATCCATTTCCCGCCGTCATTCGTCGTCCCAACGCGCAGCAACTCCGGACAATACACCTACAATGAAAACCTATAAAACTAGGAATAAACAAATTAAACACGAAGCATGAAGCAGTAATCCCAGAAAGCTTAGCGAAAAAATTTTCAGAAAGAAATTCCTGAAGCATATTGTCTGTTAATGTTGGGTTATAATATTATAAACGAATAATATTAGCCGATATTGAAGGAACAAGCTCGAGATTGTCAGAAAACTAAAAAACAGTCAATCTCAAGGAGTAACTAACTTCTGGAGCTAGGTTGTTGTAGAGGAACATATAGCTTTTGGACATTGATTCGATAACGGTATCAAGGTAGGCACGGCGCTGAGGTACCTTCAAAGTTCATTTTTAAAATAGGCCGCTGTTAAGAAAACTGTAACCATATCTTCTGAAGAGTCACTATGATGTGGTACAGGAGCAATTATGTAGATATTCGAATTATGGACTTACCTGCAACTGATAAAACTCAATCATTCGGCGTGGAGGACGTGCAATGGGATGACTTGATTTAAAATTTCTCTTCAGACTGATTCTGTCTGAGAGAAAGTCGCCTTCAGGTGGACGTGGAGCTTAAACGAAGTGAAAATCGCATAATTAAAAACTTTTATATTGAGGATCAAGTGGGATGAGCGTATTTCGTCGCCCTCCCCCCCCCCCCCNCCCCCCAGATGAAGGAAAAGAAAACAGATAAATATGTTTTTCGTCATTTTGAAGTACTATGACGATTGCTATTGCCTAACCGTTATATGTACATACATAATAATACCTACTAGGATCTGGAGCTGGTGTCGTTGTGCCAATCTCAACCTTGTTGAAAGAGTCACTAAATATAACAAAAAGGCTGATTAGTAGTAATATCGATAGAATAACATTAAGCAGCCTCGCTGACACCTTCACCATCCTTGATTTAACTGAAAACAATGTCAAGAACTTAAAATATGCTAGATCAAAAAGAGATTCAGCGTAAACTTTTGGTAAATGCACAGTTGGTCGGGTCATATTAGCACACGATATTGACCCATATTGGAGTAATCGACGACATATGTATGGTTATAGCCAGTATGTTCTGTATACGCTTATCTTGCCACGGATCTCTTTTATTAGCCTTCCCCTCTCATTGAAAAATTTTTAGGCAGCCGGTGGAAAAGACAAGTGATGCAAGGTGGAAAAGACAAGTGATGTAACCCCAGGTGGCACATAAGGCGCTAAATCTACAAGTTAAGCAGCAGAGATTACATTACCTTGATCGATTCTAGAGGTAGACTTCTTTTTCCTGCTTTGCTAAATACATTCTACCTGTTCGCATGTTCTTTCCATTCATACATGCATTTGCGAGAAGTCTACTGTTGCGAACATGGTACCCTCCAGGTCGGCTTAATGATAGTTCCAACTCCAAATTCGAGTGTATGGGAAGCAATGGCCTTGCGTCTCCAATAATTGAACACTCCGTCCACTTCAGGATAGCGCGTTCAATGAGCTCCAGCCTAGGTTGCCTCCCTCTCAGCCCTACCACGCTAGACATGGTACGATGGTAGCCTAGGCCAAAAACAGTACTATAAGTTGGGGTCATTTTCCTGAACGTGAGGGAGTCCGAAGTCTGCGCGTTGTGTAAGACCACTAGGAAGAGGCTGCTACATATTATTTCGGTGGCATAACAGGCTGCCCTAAAGAAGAAGAACGCAACGCAAGGACGCTCGCATTGGAAGCGTATGTTTAGGATTCGATAATGTAAGCCATTATGACTATGCCCATGCACGACGTCATAGGACTGATGAGACAGAAAAGTTGTTGCCTTTAAAGCTGTTCTCGGGACTTAAGGCGAACTGTTTCTCGCAATATAAAGCCGCAGAAATGGCAAGCAAAGTCGGTCCTACCCATAAGTTAGTGGATCCGATGGTAGCCAAGTCACGTTCTACCGAAATTCCCACATTTGGCACGCTTTACTCCTATTAGCATCATCACTAGAGCTTCTAAACAATTCTAACCATGGCGCTGGCCGCTTTGCTGGTTATCGTTTGGCGTTTCGAAGGTTCCAATCATACAGTACTGTCGTGCGAAGACAAAGTTTCACGTGACTATCGCAAACTCGCGTCTTTTTCGTGTTTTCTCTATAAGTCGGTTCAGAGAAGAGTATTCCAAAAGCTGGAGGTACCAGTGAACTCAGCTGGTCATGCTCTAAGACAGATACCCTAATACGTTAAAAAACCACGTTTAAGCTTGCGCCGTTCACTTGGGTTTCTTTCGATAAGCAGTTGTTGCATGTTCATGAGCAGCTGCACGCCTTAACGTATGTAGTCGATCTATATGGAAAAATTCTCGTGATTCGTTCTAGAGTGCGACACGTGCACGACTTTACTTAGTACAATGTGAAAGTGATTGGCTGCTTTCATAGTCCAAGCGGCCAGCCGGCGTGCCAGCCGAGGTAGTGCTAGGGAGGGGGAGGGAGGCAGACGGGCAAAAGCAATTTGTTTTGATCTCGTTTTTCTTTGTTTTCAGCCCTTCGAAGGGGCTTGTGCGCGACGCGCGTCAAAACAATTTGCACTTGCCCGTCTGCCTCCCTCCCCTTCGCTGGCACTACCTCGCCTGGCACGCCGGCACGCCGGCCGGCTGACCATGAAAGCAGCCATTGATGGGTTTGTTCAATCTCCATTCTTGACGTGGAAGCGGTAGATGACTGCGCCTACACTCCCTGCACTCAGAACTCCTTACTTTTTCCATTGAGAATATGACATTCCGGCAACTTTGGAGGGAATTTCGTCCAAATCTGAGGAGGCGGCATTGGAGGCACTCTAATATCGGAGGCAACACTTTGTTCTTGCAGGATTGTTGTGGTATACCTCATCATAAATTGGAGTTTCTCCCTAGGTATGGCTCCATACTTCCCCTTTCTTCACCCCTAAAATGTTTCCCTTTCCATTGGTCTTAATGCAACGGTGCAATACCGTGCAAGGCGGTTCACAGTGGAGTATTACGAGAGCTGAAGATACCGTAGAATTCAGCTCGACAAACTCTACAAGAAATGCTCGTGAAGTTTTGAAAAGTCACAACTTTGGAATCAGCAAGAAAATGTGTTTCTTTTGCTGACTGATTAATGGAATGATAGTTCACTGCCCTCGTTTTCCTTTTATAGAGAACAGACCTAGTACTACGAGTCTTTTCCAACCAGTTTGGCCAGGAGAGCACACTAGTTTGTGACGTTATTGTGAAGACCTCCATAGTTAAGAAATTAGCAATTAGCAATGGTTGAAAAGACAAACTTCCTTGCAATAAATATCGCTGTCGAAGGCCTGGTAAATATTATGTATGTAGGCACTTTCGTCGAGTGTGCCCAAGTTTTGTAATTCAGAGATTCGTCTACTATCGCTTTACATAGGTACTTTTCGAGACACTTGATTCTTACCTTTTATTGGTATGCTTTCGGCATATAATGCCTTCAGATCTTACGTTTACAATGGATAATTGCAAGCAATCAGTACTTTTTCCAAGCTCTTGATTTCTAATTCAATAGGTAGAATGTGGAGAAAGGTACGTAGGGAAGACCGCAAGTCCTTTGAAGACCCTCCCCCCTTGCCGGACGAAGATAGAAAAGCTTCAGTTAGTTCCGCTGGCTATTTCTGCAATGAACAGGAATATGTAGATTTCTCTTTGTTGACTCATCTCTAAATGACTGTGCTATATTTTGTCTGATTGGCAGAAATTGCCTCGAATATTTGAAATATGTTGTGACTGTGACTTCGATCCTTATCATTTTTGATTGATATAAGAGCCTGGAACAAACGAGCTGATCGCTACGGTAAAATAAACCTTCCAAGAATCGTCCTCGTCCAACCAACACAAGTGGCGACCACGGCAATGATCGGTTTCCAGAAATCGACGCAATTAAGGAAGAAGAAAATATTCAGTTTTCTACTTTGAAAAGAGAGTGTTCACTTGGTGGAGTAACTCTGAACACTGACAACACAATGAGCCACTTTGTTAGGAAAGGCTACACAATTATCAATGTTGGTCTTACAAATACGGTATTGCGATTCTCCTCCGCTTTGGTCTACTACTAGCAATGGCACCAGCAACCTACTTAATTTCCCGACTGATACGCCTTGCCCTTTACATCATACGAATAATAGTACGCTACAGTTGCTTAATCGGTTATATGTCACCAACGCGACTACGTCAAGCACACCGCCTACCAAAATATATAAATCGGAGGGAGAGAAATCGACGGAGAGCCTTTGTGTCCGCACAATTCTCACCCTTCTTCAACTAACCTGTACCATCGATGGATGTTCCGAAGTTGTCACAGTAACAACAAAGATGTCTGCAACTCCAATGGAACGAAGAAACTTGCACGTTCAAACACGCCACTACAATAACACTTCAATCTTTGCAGCAACGAACTTTCCCGACGAAAGAAGCCACAAAATCCACCAATGGGAATGCTGACGAACAAGAGTTCCGATGCAACAAAAAGATCAAATTCTATACACGTGATCATCAGATCATATCTGAATCATTCCACCGCTACCACCGCGCAGGAAGTTGCCATGCAGACGAACTTCATAAAGTAAAAGAAACTGATATGCTCGAAGAATATCCAGAAACTGCAAACAATAGTCCCAGATGTTCTTCTTGCTCCTTGAGCTGTGGCTGGCTCACGTGCGATGGTTGCTTCCTTCCCATACCTAGCTGTCTCTTTCACCTACTTATGCTACTCCTACAACGTCAACAGTGTATAGCATTTTTCAATGTCCATGTTGGGAACTCGAAGTTGACGCAGAAGTAAGCCTACAGCAAGAAGACTAAATAACAACTTTGACAGTAGTGCTACATCCAGGACCACGAAGAGTTGGAACAACTTCCACTTTTCTTTGTTTGGCATCGTAACACCACAACTCCCAACACTGTCATCTACCTTCATCACGAACGGGAACAAAACACCTATGATCAATCTTGCTCAGAACGGTCTACTACAAAGCCACTCCGTAGAAGAACTACAATGTTCAACGCGGCATGCAGCAATACAATTCGATCACGTTTTCTCACGCAATATATGTACGTGCACGACGGCCCTACATAGCGCGACCTGTACTTGCAGCAGTGGAAACGTACGAAATCATACGGATCCCAACCACTTCCACAAGCTTCGAAATACTTCATCATTTTCGAATCCAACAACAACATCTACGCAAGAACAAACGTCGCTTCTGCGATACAACTCCAAATCTCCGCATAACAACACTAAAGCACATCAGCCGTTGCCATGTAAAAACAACCACCTTATCTGGATGTTATAGCTGCACTACCGGCGCCTCAGTAACAATGCCCTGCACAAGCGACAACTACGAAGTACTGGCACAAGTGAAATGCGGTCAACATACCCATGTAATCAGATGTACTGAATCAGGCTTCCTCAACACTGTTTTCTTCATGTTTAACACTCTGACCATAACCACCAATTGCATCGCTGTTTGCCCCGGTTCGTGAATGACATTTTTGATAATTTCATGAATAAGCTCATAGAATTTGTGTATGGAATAGCATAGTTCTTCGCTTCATGGAGCTATTTTTCCCTTTTCATTATTGCATTAGTACTATTGAACCTCCTCTAAGAATCGGTTCCAGAACTTCTTACCATAAAGTCCATTAAATTTTGCTTGCTGTTGGAGTCTTTCTGTAAGTATAAGTGTAGGGTAAGTCCATCATTTAGAATTGAAGTGCACTTTGGAGCTCGGCGCACCGGAGTGACGTGAGGCTTCATTTCACCCTTTTGGAAGGATAGAGGAAGTGGACTTTGTTTATGCTTCTGTAATCTACTATATTGGCTAGCAGCTCGTATCGAGTCTTGTAATGAGCGATCAAAACAGAGCTGAAGGCAGTAAAGGTTTGTAATACATAGCAATATGTGATACACATGCAGAAGTACACTTCAGTTCGGAAAATACATTTGCTCAGGAGAAATAATGATTATTCAGTAATACTAATATTTTCGGTACCAGTGAAGGCTCTGGTGTTTACACAGGAACACTGAGAATTGACAACACGCGTTCTAGGGTTGAAAAATCCAACGCAGAGATTATGGAAATGACGGGTATCCTGTTCCGACAGCTCGTTGGTAGAATGCTCGATAGGATATTTATTTCAATATTTATTGGGTTAACAAGTCATAACTACAATTCGTACCATTACAAAGTCAAACATTCTGAAGATTGTGCAACCTTGTTCTGGATCTTGTTTTGGAATTGCTGGTGGTGGGTCCGACAGGCGACAAGTTGGAGCGCTCAGCTTATTTCCTTCGAATTGCTGCACCGCACCGCTCTCGTTCATTGTTCATTGGAAATGTCTGTCTTCCTTGTCATTGGGTTGTTGGAGAGCGGAGGGCGAGGAACTTGGAGTTGAGAGCAGTGCCGTTCGCGGCACTGCCCGATTTTGGAAGCGCCGACCCGTGGAGTTGCCGAACTGTCAGGAACTGCTTAAGAGAGCGGCCGGGAGCAGAGCCTAGTCGAGAACTCTTGAGAACTGCTAGACTGACACTAACTGGGCCTTTTATACCCAAAAAATGGGCGGCTTATATACTGGCCCCGGTGGGCTGTGCATTCGGTCTTTGGTAAGGGAACCTTACGAAATTCCAGCAACTTTGTACTTTGGTGTGGGAACAACCGCATTTTTGGAGCCTTGCTGGAAGTATTGATTGATTGATGAAGGTGTTCATGTGTATCCTCGTAATCATGACGAAGAGTCATGACACTCCACACGGCGAAGGGTTATGGAAACGCGAAAGTTTGCCGTTTGCATCCTCTCCGCCACCTTTGGATTAGGTGATTGTTTTACTATCGAAGACAAGGTTGCGTTTGCAATCAAATACTACACAGAATTAAGTAAAACATGCGTACAACAGGAATCGATATTATACAAAAAGGTAAATAAGTAAGCGGTGTATTATACTCTAGTCAGGTATCCATTGTGGTCGTGAAGTCGATGTTGTCTAAGCCGCTGGTAGGTTCTACGTCGTGGCGGTTGAGATACGGTTTGTCGTGGTGTCGTTCGATGATGGGAGATACTAGTGTTTCAGTAGTCGTGACGACGTGATCAGCCGTAGAGGGAGGCGAAGTAGGAAGAAAGTAGATGATATTGCTAGTTTGAGAAAGTTATAGATAAGGAGTAGTATTCTCAGTGGAGGAAGTGATGTGGCGAGAATATTAATAGTGGAATTTTCCTTGTTCTTGCGTTGTTTTTTGGAAGCAGGAGCAGTTTTTTGGAAGCAGCTGAATTTTAGCGCGGTGATGAGGAGTATAAGGATGGTGAGCGAGTATAGGAAGAATTGTTTGCATGTGTGAAGGAAGTGAGAGAAATCCGGTAGGGCTAGTTCGATGGAGAATTCCGAGTATTCGTTAGTTGGGTTACGAACCAAGGACCAAGAGATGCGAAGATTGGGGGGAGGTACGGAGTTGGGCTTTTATATAAGTAATGAGAATATATATTGGTATGTGAGTGTGAGATGCTATAATCAGATAAGCGGGTTTCTCAAGCTCGCTGGTTCATGTTGACATCCTTCATCTAAGCGTACTCTGACCCCGATCGTTGCATTTTTTGCAAAGGTTTTGCTTTTGTTGAATGTTTTCTGTCGCGCCATGCGTTCTGGCGAGTTATGTTTCTTCTTAACGTTTATGTTCGCTTTCATTCTTTCTTGTTTACGTTTATTATGATTTCGTTTTATTTACGTTTATTATGATTTCGTTTGTAACGGTAAGCTGTAAACCTCCTATGTTTTATTTATTCGTTTGTTTTTTCTTTTTCTTTTCTTTTTTTTTGTTCTGTGATTTGGTTTTCTTTCTGATTTTATATGATTGACGTTCCCTCCTTTTCTTCTGTTTTCGTTTTGTTTGTTTGTTTTTGTTTTAGTCTTGTTGTTTCGTTTTTTTTTTNNTTTTTTTTTGCTTAAACAAAGATTCATTCTATCAAAGTTTATTCGCAATTTGAATAATTAACATCTTTAGTTTCAACTTCTTTGAATTGACTGATCTTGCTTTTCGGTTTCATCCCCTTTCTCGTTAGGGGCCTGTTGGCCGTTGATGGGCCACCGGCCCCACACGATGACATGCTCTACCTCTTGCATTCGTCGCTCCATGGAGGGCAGGCTCATTGTGAGGAAACGTAGTTGTCGTCGTACGATTCGGTCGTGCTGTTCGATTTGTTCGAATATTGTTTGTTGACGACGCGGTTTTTGAGCCACTCTCTCCATGCTAAACAAAGTATTATTAATTGTAAAATTTAAATTTTGAAGTTGAGAAAAAGTTTTTTTCTGAGATAATGAAGGTTAATACCTCTTTTCTTTGAGCAAACAGCTTAAGAAAAAAAAGGACTTTATTGAAACGTTTTATAAGCAATGAATGTTATCTCGATGTTTCATTGTTCTTCGTTTATTCTCTTCGAAAGCCTTCGTCCCGCCACGCCGCCTGCATGCATTCAGCAAGTCGTCCTTCTAGGTTGTAGATCCTGGCTAATGCGATGGATAGGCATTCTTCGTACTCTAGAAGTTTCTTCAGATAATCTTCTGCAAATTCATTGACCGGTGACGAGGCTCTATCCACATATGTTGTGGGTGCGTCGATGTTGGAGACGGGCGAAGACGTTCGGTCGTTGGCTGACGTTGCAGAAGGTCGGTCGATGGATGACATTGCAGTTGAATAGCAGTAGTACTGTTGGGTAGCAGGATTGGGA